TCCTCCCCCACCCCCTCTTCCCCCTCCTCCTCCGAGGCAGCCACCTTTGCTTCTGGCGGTGCACAGCGCCGCCCCCCAGCACGGGATGGAGGCACCAGAGATCCAGAGTCTGCAGAAGCAGACACCGCACCGGAAGAGAACAGAGAGACAGAAAGGAGGAGGAGAAAGGAGTGCGTGGGTGGAGGGTGGGACAACACTCAGGGGCAGAAGGATGGGAAGAGAAATCTAAGAGAAGGAGGAAAAGTCCACGAAGGGGGAAAAGCTTGAGGGAGAGAGGGAGAGATGAAAAGGGAAGGGAAGAGGCAAAAGCACAGTAAATCGGAAGGGAACAAGGAACTGAGGAACAGAGATCAAATAAGCCCAGAACTGAGCCAAACCAGAAAGGAGTAAATAAGAATCCAACTGCTGCACTCAGCCGAGCCTTAAGCAGAACTTCCTCTGCCCTCTGACTGTGAGGGACTAGGGCCGAGGCTGCCGTCACAGGGCTCTGCCTGGGGACTTGGAGGACGGGTGGGGACTGACTCTCATGACGGCCGCAGCGCAGCAGGGAGGACTGGGGTCCCCAAGCCCCACAACTCCTGCCCCAGTGCGTTCTCAGCTTGGGCGAGGGGCGGTGTTGGCGTGGGAGCCTGGGGTCACCCTGATGCTGATGTCACCTTCGGGCCACGCTCCAGCCCTTCCCGCACCAGCCTATTCCCTGTTTCCTCTGCCCACGTTGTCCCCCTTGGGCCGAGGGGGTCTCGGAGAATGGGATCTGGCCAGGATCCAGCCAGGACGGGAAATCAAGCTTCTCCTTCAGGAGGCTGGGCTGAGGGCTTGCTCTGGAAGAAAGGTGGGCACCGGGCCTGGCTGTGGACATCTTGTGGCTCAGGTCACCTGAGGAGATGGGAAAGGAGGGCAGGGAGCAAAAACACAAAGAGGTCCAGAAAAAGAGCTCCAGAGAGGAGCAGGATGGAGAAGGACAAAGTCACATAAGGGAAAAGGGGAGGCAGGGACTGAAAGGAAAGACAGGAGCGCAAAGAAAGAAAAGAAAGAGAAACGGGAAGAGGGAGGAGGTTCCCCCCCCCCGCACCCCATTCCCCAGCAGCCCACGCGGCCCACTGCAGTCTGACTTCTCACCTGCCCGGCCCCACAGCTTTCACTCCAGGGAAGCCAGGGGCACCGTGCAGCTTCACTCCCGGTCTCACAACTGTCCGCAGCTCACTCTTTCCCTCCCTCTAGGACCCCTGATCCCTCTTCCTTCTCCTCTGGCTGCCCTTCCCTGTCCCTGGTGGGCTCCCTTCTCCCAGCCCCTCAGCCTCGGCCTCCTGACCCTCTCTTCCCTCTGTGCCTTCTGGGGCGATGGCTCTGTCCACACCCACGGCTTCCTCACCATCGTCCCAGACCCCGACGGCCCCGCGTTGCCCCCCCACCTCTGGAGGTCTCACAGCACTGCCTCATCATCAGCTCCCCTCAGCCCCGTGGAGAAGAGGACGAGGGAGGAATGGAGGGGGAACTTGGAAATGAAGGGCCGCAGGCTGAGGCGCAGGAGGGCAGAGGGCACTGGGGCTCCGGGAACCTAAGAGAGGGCACAGACTGGGCACTGTCAATGGACAGCAGGAAGGAGGAGAGCACACACCCAAGGCTCCCATGCTGTGCCCCGGCTGCCCGGGGCGGTGAGGGGCTCAGACCTTCTCAGACCCCTGCCTTTCTCTCTCCTCATTGACCTCCCCCCAGGCAGACAAATTCTCTTCACTAGTGGGGACCCAGAGCACCGGGGTTCTGGTGGGAGGAAGGGCATCGGAGCCTCAAGAGAGCCACAGCAGACCCTGGGGCGATGGCTCTGTCCACACCCACGGCTTCAAGAGGCAGGGATGAACCCTCAACCAGGAGCCCCACCGCCTCTCTCAGACCTGCTCCTCTCCCTGTCAGGCACCACAGAGTCCAGACATCAGGCCCAAGGAGCTGGGAGGACTCCCCTTCCTCTTTGGGGTGGGAGGGCACTGGAGAAAATTTGAAGGAGAGAACTCAGAGCTCAGCACTTTCCCCTTTCTGTTTTTCTCCTTGAGGAATTTTTTTCCCCCAACTGCTGATGACTTTACCATTCTTGGGGGTGGGAGGTGGAGATTCTGCCACCGCCCCCCCAGTCCGAGTGCCGGTCAGAATCCTACATTCCTCACGAAGCCAGAGCTTCAGACTTTCCTAAAGATGAGGTGGCGTCTCCTCCCCTCTCGGCCCAGGCTCCCCTCCCCCAGCCCCAGCCTCCAGCCCTCAGCCCCGGCCAGGGAGGCCCGGCCAGGCTGGGAGGAGACCCCAAGCACATTCTTCGCCTCGCTGTCATGCTGCAGAAATTAAAGACACATCTTCGCACTGGGCGTGCGCCAAGTGTTTCAAGTGGAGAAGTGGCAGAAGAGGCCCTGGGCCTCAGCTCCGTGCCACGTGGAAAGGATGCTTGTAGAACATCTGCCTGCAGCCCCCGGGCAGAGGCCTGGGCCTGGATGCTGGGGTGGTGGCCGTCACACACGTGCGTACAACGCCCCCACCCCAGGGCATCTGCATGTCCGTCAGAGCTCCGGCCCTGCGATGTCACCACTGCCACCCACACCTGCTGGGCCTCAGCCCTCTGTTAAGGTGGGCCTGGAAAGGCCAGGCGGAGAGACGTGGGAGGGGGCTGCAGGCCGCGCGGCCCTCGAAGGCAGATCACACCAGCCTCGCAGTGAGCCCTGCGAGATCTCCTCCCAGAGGACCACTCCCAACACATGCTCCTCTGCGGTCAGGACCCCCGTCCCCTGTTGGGGACATGGTCCCCCCCGGAACCCACCCACAGTGGAGGGTAGTACTTTGGTGGGCCCAGGAACTGCCATCTCAGCACCTCGGCCCCCAGTCCTGCCCTGCCGTCGCTGGCACTAGGCGGGGACAGATCCCGGGCCACAAGTCACTGCCACATGGTTCAGATAATTGACGAAGGCCCGTCCCTCCATTGCTGTCTCCAGCCCTGCCTCTCTGGAAACTATATTTTCCCTTTAATTATAGCCCCCACCGGCTCCCTGCACGGCCCCACCCACTGCTCACCCTAGCTGCCCACGGCCAGCCAACGTGGCTACCTCCCCTTGTGTTCCTTGGTCTTTTTTTTTTTTTTCCTTTGACTTCGTTGCACAAAACCAGCTGGGGGAGGGCGTGGAGAGGGGCGGGTAGGGGGAGCAGTGGAATCTTGGATGGCTCAGGGGAGGCGGGACTCCCCGCTTCCACGTTTGCATCTCTAGAGCAATGGGGGTGGGGGGGCTGGGGGACCCCGGAGGAGACCCCCGTGCTTCCACTGGGACCCACAGATCTTGGCAGAACGGGGCCCTGGATGGATCGGGGTTGGACAGAGTCATGCTGGGGCTTGAGCTATTGGACAGGAACAAGGGAAGGTGACTTCCAGAAGCATCTTCTCCAAAAAGAGCCTGGAGGTCCCCACTCCCTGTCAGGGTATAGGGATCCCCTCTTTATTCCAGGGCAGAGAGCAAAGACCAGCATTTTCAGGAAAGCATGAGGCAGCAGGGAACAGCCTCTGGAAGAGAGTCACCAGCCCGCCCTGCCATTCCATCTCAGCTCTGAGAGCAGGTCCCCCACACTCCCCAGCGCTCTTCTGTGTCCCCAGCCTGAGGCCACATACAGCCAGCTAAGGGGCTCTCCGCTTCCACGGACACCCTGCCTGCCCGGTGACCTCCGGCCAAGTTCTCTCTCGCTGACCGCTGGGCAGGAGGGTCTCAAGCCAGCCCCAGCAGCCACAGCTGACTCAGGACCCTCTTCAAGTCCTCAGTGAACACTGGCTTCCCTGTAAGCTCAGACCTCTATGACTACAGCTGCAGGAGTTCGGGGAGTAAACTGTAGATGTCTGTAAACCCCAGTCCACACCTCCCCTCTCCGTTCAGCCAGGGATTAAACGGGGGCTTCTGGGTCTCTCTTGGAACCACAGGCCTGGCAATAGACTTGATCTCCTAAATCTACTCCCCCTCCCACTATCTGATTCTTATGCCTATAAAGGAATCTCTCATTTGTTCCCCAAATATTCCTAACCTGCAGCCACACCAGAAGACACCCCCAAACAAGCGCATCTTTTAAAATTCCCTGCTTTTCCTATTTTGGAGAGGCCCACACCTGGTCTCTTTAGACTCTTTCCTTGGCGCTTGCTGAGGTCAGGAAGGTGAATGGCCTCTAGGACCCTCTTCCACTTACTCCTAATCCTTCCCCAATTTCACCCTCTCTAGATTGGGGGTCCCGGGAAGAAGGAGCTAAGGGCACCCCTGCCCACCCTGAGAAACTCCAGCGGCAGCATCTCTGGCCCAGGCTGGGCGGGGGGCTGGGAGGCCGAGTGGCAAAGGGGGGAGAACTCGGGTGGACTCCCTTTCCTTCCTTTCCCTCCTCCTCCCCCTCTCCGGTCCAAATTGGGGGCCGGGCCAGGCAGCTCTGATTGGCTGGGGGCCGGGCAGCCGGCTCCCCCTCTCCACCAGGCAGGGTTCCTCCCAGCGCTCCATCAGGACGGTATAAAAGGGGCCCGGGCCAGCCGTCGGGAGCAGACCGGAGTCTCTCCCCGGGGTCGGAACAGGAGGCACTCGGAGTGTGAGGCCACGCATGAGCCGACGCTAACCCCCCACCCCAGCCGCAAAGAGTCTACATGTCTAGGGTCTAGACATGTTCAGCTTTGTGGACCTCCGGCTCCTGCTCCTCTTAGCGGCCACCGCCCTCCTGACACATGGCCAAGAGGAGGAAGTCGTGGACCAAGACAGAGACAGTAAGTCCCCAACTTTCCGGAGTCCACGGGTGCTCGGTAGCCAGCCCAGAGCTTGGTCCTCGCGCATTTCCGGAGATTCGCTTGGGGATGGACGGAAAGGAGATGTAAAGGAGCGAATGCACCGTGGGCTGGGCACGGGGACGAACGTTCCGAGGAGTGGGCAGTGAGGCTGGTGCACTGTGCCAGACGGCGCGGGAGGAAATCCTGAGCATGCGCCGTCGAATGCACCCGGGTCGGTGGGCTCTGCAGGCAGAGCACGTCGAAGATGGGACAGGGGCGCCGAGCTGGGGATCTGGAGCCCGGGATGTAAAAGCGATCAAGAGGGCTGTGGGATGATTCATAAGGAAAGATTGTTTGCACTCTCTGCAGGCTAGACCGTGTTCCCGGGACCGCGGGGGTGCTGGGCGGCGGGGGGAGGGGACGCCCAGAGTGGGCGGGAGAGAGGCTGAGAAAGTTTGGCGCGGGCTGGGCCGGGTGAGGTCCTTGCGCCCCCTGCTGACCACCATGAACATTACGCATCCGGGTCCGGCGTTTTCCAGCGCGGGAGCTGGAGGGGGAAGACCCTAGCTATTGCTGGGTGTGGACCCCACTTCTAGATCTACAAAATAAAACCAGGCATGGGGTAACCTCTGCCTCTAAAAGTCCTAATCTGAGGACGTGGGCCCCACCCTGGCCCCATTGCTTAGCGTTGCCCGCCACCTGGTGGTGCTCTGAGAAGATGCGTGAAGGGAGTGGTTAACTAAATGCATCATTATTGGCAGACTTTTGGGTTCTTTGGCTAAGGAGTGACCCAGAAGCAGTGGCTGGCTTTGAGGTATTAGAGGTAGTCCCAAAGCAAGCTTTTAAGTTGTCTGGGCTCCGGCGATTAGGATGTACCCAATTTTAGGGGTGCAATTTTAGAGGTGCACTTCGAGCCTCTGGGTGGGACCCATCAGCTCCCCCACACCCCCGTTCTCCTATCCCCGCCTACCCATCCCACCTGCCATGGGGCTGGGGGCGGGGCTTCTCCTCGGGTTCTCCCCGCAGGCCACGCCCCGAGAGCCTGCTTTCAGGACGGGGCCCCTCCTACAGCTCCATCAACTTGGCTTTTTATTTCCCTTGGCCTCTGAGACTGTTGGAGTTGGAAGCAACCCCGGCCTAGA